AATAGAGAAAGTAGAAAGCAGATGCAGAAGAATAGAAACGAAACACACGAACACAGCAACGCAGAGAGAGAGCAGACTCGCCACACGTAAAGTAAAGAAGAGAAGCGGATGAAAACACAGAGGAAGGCAACAAAAAAGCTTCACTTTACAGAAGAAACACATGCACGTTGCAGAAGAAAAGAAAAAGAGCAGAGACACAGCACATACATAGCACTCACAGACGAAAATGTAGAGAGAGAGAGAGAGAGAGCAGACTCGACCACACGCAAAGCAAAGAGCAGAAGAGAAGCTCACAAACGCAAGCATAGGAGTCAAAGAGACGAGCTACACGCAACAGGACTTGGGATCTTCTTCCACCTCACACATAAAACTCGACGCAGTGAAGGGGAGGTAGAGGACCTGTTATTTTTGCTTTGGATTTTTGAGGGGGTCTGAACAGAGACCGAGGACAAGAGAGAAGCTTTGAGAGGGAGAGTCAAAAAGGGACCGAAAGAAAAAATAGAGACCGAGGGCGAGAGAGCACCGGTAGAGATGGAAAAGGTTGGAGCGAGAGAGAGACCAAGAACAGATCAGGATTATGCAGCTGAGACCGTTACTTCCGTTGACAATCTCAAGCTCAAGATCATTAAGCAGGACTAGAGAAATGGCATGCGGGTTAAAGTTCTTATGAAAATGACTAAGCATGGACATAGAAAGCAAGCTTGGAAAGGGTCTGATTCTAAGAAGAATAGCACAAGAACTAGCCGTGTATCTGAGTTAACAGGAGGTGAGGACAGACTCCAGAGAAGCTTCTTCTTCCTCCTTCCTGTTCATCTATTGTTGACTGTAGTTTGTCTGCCATTATGGGTACGCCGGAGTTGTTTTTATCGCTGCAAGAGGTTTGATTTGTTGTTTCTTTCTTCCTCCTTTACACAGCTATTAGTCTGCTCTACTTTTCTTTGTCCTGTGTCGTCCTTGTTCTAATTCTTACAATAGATATACGTGGGAGTTTGTGTTGATTATGCTGTTATGGAACTGATTCTTCATGAGAATTTGCTTGTGTTGAAATAAAGAGATTTGGAAGCTTTGAAAGTTTAAGTATTGATCATGAATATTTAGAAAGATATTTGAAGAGGAAGTAGCTTTGTATTATTGTGTGAATATTGTCGCCCATAGGATGTTTGTTAAAATGTATAAAAGAGGAATTGAAAGGATTCTTATGCTTGTTAGACCAAGGTTACATTAGATCTAAAATATACTTTTTTTTTAAACATAAAAGAGCATATGAACTGAATCTGATTTTTTTTTAATCTCTTTGTTTCTTAAAGTTAAGACATCAACTTGATTTTGATTTCTACGGAAGATAAATTGGTTGATTGATGATAATGATGATAAGTGAATCTTGTTTATTTTAATTGTTAGATGCTATTACCACTACTCTCGTTATTTCTTTTTGAAAGCCAAATTTGAACATTAAGCCAATTTGAAAAATTTTAAAGAACACATCCTCAAGTCAAAAGAAGAGTAAAGTGTCAAAATAGTTTCTTTTCTATTCCTTTGAATGCTAAATTCATATATATTGTGCACTGATTGCAAATGCAAATATCTTAATTATCTATTTGTTATGTAAGATTTTAAGAATCTCCACAGGCATTTAAAATAATCTTATATCGTGAAAATTAATAAGATTTTGCAGGTATAAGGGTCACTTTTATATATAATAATATGGGTTCCTAAAACTCATCATTAAAATTAATTTTTTTAATTAATTAATAAAATATTTAAGTCTCATGTAAGATTTTAAGAATATTCATAGATAATTAAATTAAGTTCTTTATTGTTCTCACAGATATCATGTTTCTCAATTTATATGATAAATAAATAAATTTTGTAAATAAAATAATAAACATTTTTTAATAAAATTGATTAATTAAATTAATGTATTTGTATAATAACTATTAAAATAATCATTTTATCCGTGTAAGTTAATAAGACTCTGCTGGTATAATGATTACGATTTTTATCATACTTTTTGTCATGAGTGATAAAAGTCCCCGTTGACACATTGAATAAATTTTCAATATATAAAAAAAGAAAAAATTAATCTTTTAGTCCCTTAACTTTTAACTCACTTGTAATTCAATTCCTTAACTATAATTCGCTGTGACTCAATCTCTCAATTATAACTCACTACGACTCGGTCCCTCAACTTTTGATTCACTTGTAATCAATTCCTTATTTTTCAATTTTTTAAAAAATTTCCTTATCAAATAAAGGAGATAAAAGAAATGCTCATGTATTATTCTAAAATACCCTTCTCTTTCTCTTTAATTTGAGATTTAGGCTAAAATGAAAAAAGAGAATTTACAAAAATTGAGGGATTGAATTATAAGTGAATCAAAAGTTGAGAAACTGAGTCATAGCCGAGTCATAGTTGAGGGATTAAATTATAAGTAAATTAAAAGTTGGAAGACTAAAAGATTAATTTTTCCTAAAAAAATATTAAAATAAAATATTTTGTAAATAATCTAAGATTTCATATTGTAAGGAAAATATAGAATTTTAAAAGGCATTAAAGTCATTTGAATGTCCACGAGTGACAATAAGTCTCTATAGGCACATTAGAAACTTTTTTTTTTTTTACATTACTTTTCTATATTGACAAAGTGAATCTTCAAAATAAGAAAAAGTATAATAACGAAAATCTTTTCAAAATATAAAATGGGAGTAAGAAAGTGAAGTTAAATTATCTTTACAAATTAAAACACACCAACTCACATTTTAGAAAATTGTTTTGTTTGTAATTGGTAAGTTATTTTCATTTAACTTTCTCTTTTTTGAAAATTATAAATAAAGAAAACCATTGGCACTAATCATTATCCCGAACTACGTGAACTTTAATCCCCATCACAGGATACGTAGACCTCAGAGCCTAATTCTAAGTCAAATCCTTCCTTGTAAATAAATAAATATTTCTCATTTAATTATTATCTTTTTTTATATCAAACACATGAATAAGAAAGGGATAATTAAAATAACTTTAAAATCATATTAATTGAGCATAACAAACTTTAGGTAATCGTTCTTACGAGTGGATGTTGTGGGGTGCCTAATACCTTTCCCATACTCAATCGACTCTTGAACCTATTTTTTAATTTCATAGACCATCTTACCTCCTTTAATTGGTTTCTCAAGATTTTCCTCAAAATTTTGGTGGCGACTCCCATATGACTCCTTTAATTCATTCTTCTTTTTGAAGGTCGAAGATTTGCTTTCTCATGCGGTTTGTGTCACATTTTCAAGTGCGACACTCTATCAATTAAACAAAAAGTTATAGGAAAAACATAACAATAGATTGCTATGCTTTGATTGTGTTTTGTTATTTTTGATCCTATAGTTTGATCAACCTACAATGTAAATCTCTATAATTTTAAAAATGTATATAAAGATCATGAGATTATATTAAGGGAAAATCACATTCAACTCCCTTCAAAAAAATTAATCACAAATAAGGACTAATGCGAAATATATTGTTGTTAAAATGAGAATATGACTTATTTTTTTTTAAATGGGACTTGTTAGTCCTTATCTATGATCCTTAATGAGGGCAATATTTGATTCTCCCTTACACTAATAGAGGTAGTCTCATTGTAACCCTGCTAGTCTCTTTGTTTAGTACGGTAATTTTTAGATATAGTTAATTATATTAGGAATTTTGTTCCTTAAGTGTCTCATCATACTTGCCAGCTGTGTAGACTTTTGAGAAAAAATCTACTCCGTTGAGGTTCCATCCAAACAAAAGCTGTTCGCCACTTAAAACAAATTTGTTAGCAAGCATAATTGTGAATAAAAGGCAAATGGGGGGGGGGGGAATTTACTTTCATATTTGGCTTAAATAGAACATTGGAGACGAATGTGAGAATAAGTACACGTTTGCAAAGGGTTAATAGTGTTAGATACATATAAATAAAATTAACTCTATTGATGCTAGCTCATAATCTTATATATATTTTTAAAAATTACATCGACATTGCAAATGGATCAAATTAAATAGACTGAAAACAATGAAATAAAATTACAGGGATTAACAACAAAATGCAATTAGAGTGCAGGACTGATTGTTGTATTTTTCCAAAATTATATAATCTTGCGATGATGAGCAAATGCTGTGTGTGTCCTCTCTATCTTCATATTTTCTCTTTCTGTAAGCTAAAAAGTGTAATTACTGTTTGGCTTTGCTGCATGGTTTTCTTTTTTCATTCTGATTTAGAATTTGAGGTGGATCGAGCTGACTTGTATGCCCTGTGATGTGAGCAAAATTTTACTCGATCCATGATTCACGGATGAGCGGAAATATGAGAGAGAGTTAGCGTCTAATGTTACAAACGTTTGAAAATTTAGTGACTCATGAGATATATCAAATTAAAAAATTTAGTGATTGAAATTTAACAGGGTTAAAATTATTGGATTAAATAACTAATTTTTTCAAATAGAAGGGTGGAATGTGGAGCAAGGTGAAAGAAGTGAAATTGAGATTGGCATATTTATTTATTCATTTATTTATTTTTAAAGAAGACGTCCCATTTGTGCACCGAACGGCTCTCGTAGTCAAAATATTATATATATATATATATACACACACACACACATACTCCCTCCTTTTAAAAATGTAAGATATTTTTTAAGGAGTTCGATGTTAAAAAATGTAAAGCATTTTTAATCGTTTCGAAATGTAATCGTTACCTGTTTTCTAAAAGTGCCCTTATTAATGGTGACTTTATACTAAATACTAAGAGAAATAAATATAAAAAGATAGGGTTAGTTTGAAAGTAGATAACTACTTTATCGGGGTGAAATTCAGTTAAAAATAACTTACATTTTTTAAGAAAATGAGTATATACATATATATATATATATATATATATTTTAACCTACCAAAATATTTTATATTGAAAAATGTCTTTTGGGTATCACAGTGTATCATTTCCACACAGACGTACTTCATTTGTCTTTGAATCAGATACGGACAAGATTTGTCATCGGCCATCTATATTCTGGATCTGAAAGCGGAAAACTTTCCAAGAATGATCGTGGAAAATAATATCTGGGCTCCCCGCGTCGTTATCAGCGACCTGGGCATCAAGTTCTGAATTTATGATTACATTTAATATCTGGTCTCCTCTCCCTCATTGATCAAAGCTATGGAGAGAGAGAACCAAACGGCATCGCTAAGTTCTCCTTTGATTCAAATCTCAGGAGAAGATGGATTATTCTAAGTTGACACAGAGCGAAACAAGCAAAGAGGATTAGAAACAAGTCAGGTTCTTGAAGAAGTGAGGAATCTGTTATGGCTATCAGGGCCATTGATATCTGTGAATCTTTTAAATTATTGCTTACAAGTTATATCAGTCATGTTCGTTGGGCATCTAAGCAAATTGGCTCTCTCCGGTTCCTCCACGGCTACATCTTTTGCTTCGGTAACTGCTTTCAGCTTATTGGTGAGTTGAATAACTCCTGACTTCTACTTTACTTAAATAACTTAATTTTATGCCTTCTAATGATAATGAATAAGATTCTTAGTTTTGCAAACTTTCTGAATGCTTTATAATAAAGTGATTTGAACACAGAAGGTGATAAGTGATGATATTATAAATCCAAGATAATAACTAATCAGTAACAACTAATAACTAATATCTTGACTTGATGATCTTAGAGAAGAGGGCTTTTTCTAGAATTATGTAAATTCCGATGGCAAATGTATCACTGAATCTTTGTCTCTATTAGGTTATCTATTCATCTTAGTGGATCAAGCTTGAATATAAGCCCAGTTATTATAACTGTGCATGCATCATCTTCACAAACCACCTGGTGTGGGTGGCATATATGAGAAGCCAATGTGTGAAAATTGACTCACTCTATATATTCTCCCGAATGAAAACTTCCCTCCCTTTTCTCTCTTCTCTCTATTCATATTCTGTGTAGTAAGAACCGAATTCAATTGTAACTCTGTTCCTGCCACTTGTGGAAATATAGCTTTTTAAATCTACCTTTGAAGATCAGTTAATGTCACAAACGGGTTAGAAAGCGGTACTGTCTAGACGGGTTGTGGCCTTAACAAGTTTAGAAAATAGGACTTTCTAGACTGGTTGTGACCTTAAACTGGATTAGAAAGTCTTTTTTTTTATTATTATTATTATTATTATTATTATTATTATTTTGCTTTTTCTATGGCACTTTCTAAACTGGTTATAAAATCTTGCACTTTTTAAACCGCCCATATCTAAATCGGTTTTAGAACCAATTTAAAAAGGCATTTTAAATCGGTTTACAGGGCTTCTTTGCCCACTCGTGACGTAGAGATAATCCAGTGCGCAGGTATGTTTCCTCCTCCTCTTTCTTACTGTCTCTAACGATGTTTTTTCTCTCGTGGTTCAAACAGCAAGGAATGGCAAGTGCATTGGATACCTTATGTGGCCAATCATATGGAGCAAAGCAGCAGCACATGTTAGGGATACACATGCAAAGAGCCATGCTAGTTCTTATGATTGTTAGCATTCCACTTGCCATTGTTTGGGCCAGGATCTATTCTAAGTGCTTTAGGCCAAGATCCTGAAATATCCGCAGAAGCAGGACAATATGCTCAGTTCATGGTTCCATGTCCTTTTGCTTATGGTCTTATACGATGCCTAAGCAGATTCTTACAAACCCAAAATATAGTGTTTCCAATGATGTTTGCTTCTGGAGTTACTGTGTTATTACATATTCTTATATGTTACATTATGGTATTCAAATCTGGACTAGGAAATAGAGGAGCTGCATTGGCGAATGCTACATCTTACTGGGTTAATGTTTTGATATTGTTATTGTATGTGAAGTTTTCTCCTTCTTGTGCTAATAAAACTTGGTCGGGGTTTTCAAAAGAGGCTCTACATAACGTTCCCACTTTTCTGAGACTTGCCATTCCTTCAGCTATTATGGTTTGGTAATGTCATTTTCGTATGATGATTTTTAATGTTTTGTTCGATTCACAATATTAATTGCCTCATGCATGCACAGCTTGGAAATGTGGTCATTTGAAATGATGGTTCTCTTGTCTGGTTTACTTCCAAATCCAATGTTGGAAACATCAGCTCTCTCTATATGGTTAGTTTCATCTCACGAATTTGAATACTTTTCACAATTATTCTTATTCTTACTTGATGTCATTAAGGGCTAAAGACAATTTTTTTTCTCTAATATTTTTTTTTAGGAGTTTTGGCACCTGTATTGAATGGTAAGACAATATCCCTCTTAAACAAATTTTTTATCCCTCTTAAACAAATTTTTTTCAAAAGCAAAATCACCTTTTTGTCAGAGGCCCATTATATTCTCCTTTATCTATTAATATGGAATAATTGTGAAGTTCACGTATAGTGATAGTAAGACATTCTAACCTATTATACTATAGTTTCGCTGCGACAATCTAGCCCGGTTCTTGCCACTATCACTATACTTCCAACTCCTTTGCCCCATGTTAGATGGTCAAAATGGGTTGCAATGCCTTGCTATCACCATAAGTAGGCCCCATAACTATTCCACATTAACAGATAATGAAAAAAGATGACAGATCTATAATAGAAGGATGATTTTGCTCTTAAAAAAATTTTCAAGGGGGAATACTACCCAATCATTCAGTACAGACTGCCCAACACTCTTTAGAAAAAAGTTTATAGGAAAAAATGGTCTTTGACCCTATTATCAATATCTCAATCAACCTAATCTTGCTCTTAATTATCAGCCTTAACACAGCTGCAATTGTATGGATGATTCCCTTTGGACTCAGTGGAGTTGTAAGGTGATAATTGTTAGTAGTGCTTATGAAGTTTCATGATTGTAACATAAATTAATTAGCAAGCATAACTATGTTAAATATTATGTTATTCTTTGTAGCACTCGTGTCTCAAATGAACTTAGAGCTGGTCATCCACTTACTGCTCGTTTAGCAGTGTTTGTTGTGCTAGTAATGGCCATTATTGAGGGCATCTTAATCGGAATGGTTCTAATGCTAATACGAAATATCTGGGGATGTGCTTATAGTAACGAAGTAGTAGTAGTCAAATATGTAGCAACCATGCTGCCAATTCTTGCCATATCCAACTTTCTGGACGGACTCCAATGTGTTCTTTCAAGTTTACTTCTTCCTCAAGTGTTTTCTATTCTTTCCTGTTCTTACAGGGTACTTTGTAAAAGGATTATTTGATCCTTAATATAAGATACTTGACAATGTATGCATTAATTACAATTTTTTCAATACTACCTATGTTTAAAATCATTAAATATGAGAAAAATGTGATGAAAATTTAAAAAAATTTCACTTAAATAAGGGTAAAATTGAAAATTTTTTATTTGTAGACAAAATTAATAACTTAACTACTAACAAACATTGGTCCAGTTGATAATTAAGGATTTAGTTTATAATTCACAAGGTTGTAAGATCAAATTTCACTGCTAATATGAAGACCTTATTAATAGGTAATTTGTAATGACCCAAAAATTTCAAATACATATATATATTCTCTCAATTTATATTTTATTTAAATTAGTTTTATGACAAATGAAAAGTGACGATTTAGTAAAACTTATGCTAATAGTTTATTTGAAGGTCCAGAGTTTGAATTCTTTTGATCAATAGGCTAAATTTTATTAGTTTAAAATTTTGGAAAAAATTACAAGAAGTGCCCATTTCTCTTATGTTATTAAAAGAAAAAGCTGTGCCCCGTCTTGTAATTTTTACAATTTTCTAATAGTCAGATTTTTATTCCCCTCCCCTCTCGGTCAGACGCACAGAAGGATGAAAAAAGTTTCGAGATCCTTCCACTCAAGCTTCACCGGTGCCAGCTTCCTCTGTTCGTCTTCGATTTTTCTGGCGAGCTGTCATCGTTTTGTCTCCAGTCAAGTCTTCCCCATTTTCTTTCCTCTTCTTTTCTTCTTTTTTTCGGCGGTGCACACGCGTTCTGGACCAGAGGAAGAGAGTTGGAAAATTTTTTCTTGATTCCAGTAGCTTCGAACTTCAGATCCGAAATATCCTTCCTATCATCTTCCTCTCCGTGGTCTTATCCTCTAGCTAGTCATAATAGCGTGCTTGTCGTCGCCTAGTCGTCTTCCTCGTTCGATGATCTACCTCCTTCACTCGCGGCTGCGTCGTTGCTGGTGCGTGGGAGCTGATTCATGGAAGTCGAAAAAAAACTGGTCGGAGCTGCTACTGATGCTTCTTTTTATTCTTGGTTTGATTTTGCTAGCTATGTTCTTCTTTTTTCACATGATGCATTAGATTTTCCCTCCCCTGTTCAGCTTAAGGTGCGATTTCTTCTCCCTTTCACTGTCTTTGTTTGGAAATTTCTGGTACAAGAACTTCAAGTCTTCTCCATATTTATTTTCGTGCGAGCGGGTGTGTGAGTTAATGAATTGAGTTGCAAAAATTTTCTCCTCTGCTGCTGTTGCTGAACGTGACTGGTTGTATATATGTGTATAAAGGAAAAGCTTGATTAAAGATGAAATTTGTGGTCGTATAAGGGAAGGAGAAGATGGAGTGGGTTTGAATTTTAATTGAAATTCATTATAACATTGCTATTGAAAATTTTAAGGAAGTGATATTGAGGAAGAAGAGATTAATATGAGCTTAAATATTGATACCCATAAATTGTTTGATTAATGTTTGAAGAGTTTTTGCTTGACTGTGTATTTTCTAAAGTTCTAATGATTGAGGCAAAAAGGATGATTGATTCAAATGTTATTTAGTAGAGTTTTAATTTGAGCATTGCAAAGGAATTTATTTAAGAAGTTATTGAGGTCTTATTTGAGTTTTGAATTGTTGAGAGTTACAAAATTGAAAGGTTATAAAGTACATTATCATTTTGGAAGTTATATTTGAATGTTTGGAAATGGTTGGGTAATAGAATTAAAGGTTTCGTGTTTTATTGAATGGTTTGGAATGTTGCACATTAAATGTTTGGTTAAAAGCTTGAGAGAAAAAAAAAATTTTATGAATGAATTGTGTTCTTAAAAATTCAAAATTATTATTGTTAATTTTAGTTGAGTAGGTTCTCTCGAAATGGGGTCTTGTTGGTTTTAAAAAATAAAGTCTGTTAAAATATTATTATATATTATATATTATAGGATGTTTGGAAGGAGGGAAGCTCAAATAGAGTCATAAGAAATGAGTTTGGAGCCTTGAGGATACTACAGGTAAGTGGATAGCGTCCCAACTGATTTTTTTCAATCAAAATTTTCTTTACTAAAATACTATGTTTTTTTAAATCATTTTAATAGCATTAATGCGGTTATTAGATATTTGTTGATTAACATTTTTTATTTTGAGAAATTAGCTTTACAAAATTTGAAATGTTATTTGATCAATCAAGTCAAGTTTGAACTTTGATTATGAGATTTTTATTTTATCAAATATTGGATTGATACAGAGAATGATTCATGCGAGTTCGACGTTGAAAATTTTTCTTTATTCAATAAATGCAAGCATGAGCATCGGATATAAAATTTGATTCTGGAAAGTTTTAATGTTTAAAAGTATTCATGCGAGTTTAGTTTTGAGAATGAGAACTGTATCTTGAAAGTGATGATTTTCTCGCATGTTCGAAAATGGTTTTAAAAAGAGACTTTATATAGAACACTGGTTGCTAACGGCAGTTCCGTTAGCCCTTGGCACGCCATGGTACACCTAGCTAGCAGGGTGTGTATAGGAGGTGCTAGCCTCGTGCGATAGCCAACGCACGTGGAACGGAGGGATGGTTATTCGTGAGCATCGTATTTATGTTTGTTTTATGGCTTCAGCTGCATTTGATTACATACCCTCGTGAACTATGTGTCCACGTTTGATTCGTGGCTTCAGCTGCATTTGGTTATTTGTCCTCGTGGACTATGTGTCCACATTTGTTTTCGTAGCTTCGGCTGCGTTTGGTTATTTGCCATCGTGGACTGTGTGTCCACGTTTGTTAATTGTTCTGATAAGTTCCTATTATATGAATTTGATTATTTGGTAACTTTACATCCCATTGGTTTTAAATAGTAAATTATTTATAATTATTGATTTTGTTATTTGTTTCCTTGCAATCAAATGATAATATTATTTATTATGAGATTTTAATGGTTCGAGATTTTATTTAAAATTTTATAGAATCCTTTTTATTTTGAAATTTATTAAATTTTATAAAGATCGCTGTCTCTTTAACTTACATAATTATTTAATTTTTTCTTACGTTCAACGATTTATTGTTGGGACGTTATTCACTGAAAAAAATATTTTTGGTCTCAGATAGCGTAATGGACTGTGTACCTCCATTAGATCCTTAAAGGCATTTTGCTTCTGGACTGAAGTTGAGACACTATTTTGGTTAATTTCTATTTTGATGTAAATTAATATTTCATATATTGTATTTTTACAAATAATATTTTAGGTGCTTCACATAGATTATAGTTAGAGTTCTGATTCTATATTGTGCTATTTGATTGTTGTAGAGGAGAGGAGTTCTCTTTTGCTGAGTTGATGTCATAGATTGTGATGAAATATTTTTTTTTAGGTTCTATGTTTTCGGGGAGGTTTTGTTAAAAATTTTTACAAAAAGTTTAAGAATATTTTATTTTAAAAAAAATTGTTACAATGATTTTCTATCCTATTTTAAATGAATTAAAATATTATATTAAAGTTTCCTTAATCAAAGCTTAAGGAATATATGTTTATACAGATATCTCGTGCTGGTCACGTCTAATTTTTAGGGCGTGACACAATCTATAAGTACCTTCATAAGTGTTTTTTGTGCCTGAAAGCACGTCCTAACCCCAATAACTCTTAAGACCCCAGTTAGCTAAACTTTATTGTATAAAAAAAAATTAATAACTTAACTACTTTTTTTTAGTTTTGTTGAGGTAGTTTGATGTGCTTTATAATGTGAACTGGAGGGAGTATCACTCATTTTAAAATTTGTTTAATTAAGTGTTGATATGCATTTGGTAACTCTTATTGCTTGGCACAGCAAGAGGATGTGGTTGGCAGAAAATTGGAGCTTTTGTCAATCTTGGGTCATATTATTTAGTTGGGATTCCGTCGGCTGTCTGTCTTGCTTTTGTCTTCTACATTAGTGGCAAGGTGAAGTCCCTTCTTTTGTAGCATATTAAGTTTGGCTATTTTATTCAATGAGAATTGAAAAAAAAAAAAGAAACTTAGAAATATACAAATAACAATTAAATACCGTAAAATGTAATAATTATTATTTAGTTCTAAAGAACTTGTTTGGTATTTTAATTTTGACAAAATAACATATTTGTCTTCAGTGACTATTGTAGGAAATAACTATTTTGATATTGAATTCTTGATTAAAATAGAATAGAAAATGTTTTTCATTTCTTTTTATGAATTTTTGATTTTTAAACAAATTAGAAAATAACTATTTTTCTTAAAATGTCTACTTTAGTTGCACTTGATTAAATAACAAATTTGTAAAGAGAAAGTAATAATTCCCTATTCCATTTTTCATAACTCAGTCAAAATAGTCATTTTCTATAATAGTAATGGAGAGCAAGTTTATCATTTCGTTAAAAATTAAAAGAAAAACATAATCATTAATCTCTATAATTCATTGAGTTTTACTTTTAACTCCTGTAGCCTTTTTTTCAATGTTTTTAAACCCTATAATTTTAAAGATTGGGTGATGCTTATTTTTTAAGTCCTTATAATTTCATAAGGATTGAAAATACTAAAAAAAATTACAGGGATTAAAAATAAAATTCAGTAAAACTATAGGGATCAGAAAATATGTTTTTCTAAAATTAAATAATGTTAGACAAGTCCCTTGAAATTAAATAATAATAATAATAATAATAAGAATGATAATAATAATAATATTTCGTAGTATTTAATTATTATTATAATTATATTCCGGAAGTATTTATTTGCCACCATGCACGAAATTCGTGATAGACCGACCTGCACTAAATCTATTGCAAAAGGCCCAAATCCATAGTACATTTTCATATTTGTTTGTTGTGAAAAACAATACAATAGGCTGATTTCTTGTTATTTGCTACAACTAAAATATATGGTGTAGGGACTTTGGTTGGGGATCATATGTGCACTCCTCGTTCAATTGGTATCCTTATTAATAGTCACTATACGCACTGATTGGGACCAAGAGGTGAACATTCGATGTATATGTTTCATACCCTTTTCATGTCTTCGTCACGTGCTTAACCTTTCTTTTTGATCAATCATTTTATCTTTATAATTTTAACTTAGTTATAATATAGTTCTTAAATTTTTACTCGTTATAACTCAATCCTTATAAACATAATTCTGTTGTAACTTAATTTCTCAACTTATAATTCAATCTTATAGTTTTAACAATTTAAAATATTAGTCCCAATATTTTAAAAAATAAAAGTATAAAGATTAAAATTATATTAAAATTTAGGACTAATAATTTAAATTACTAAACTTTTTATTCTTTATAAAGATTATAAGGATTAAAATTTTAAAATATTTTTAATTTTTATAATTTTATTTTTTAAAAAACATAAGGATCAATATTATAAATGGCTAAAATTATAAGGATTGAGTTGCAAAAGTTTAAGCTTATGGAATAAGTTATAAAGGAGTTAAAACTATAAAAATTGAATCAGAATGAGTCAAAATTCAGAAGTTGAATTATAATTGAATCAAAACTATATTGATCAAATTATTAATTTCTTCTCTTTTTCCCTCTAAATTCTCTTTCAGGCGATGAAAGCTAGAGATAGAGTGTATGATTCGGCAACTATAGGGAGCCTGGTCTCGTGAAGCTGTCAGGCTCTCTATACGCAATGCATGCCACAGAAAGTATATGTGGAATTGTCAATGTTGACACTTTATGAAGCCAAAATGCCAAAACCTTTCACCATCTTGTTCGGCCTAAACATACCACAAAAAGTACTATATGTGGAATTCGCAATGTTTGGCCTCAAAAACATAATCTGATGCTGGAGCCACGTGATAATATTGATGGACAACATTTATGATGCCACTTGATCGCTTTTATAGCTTCAACATACGATGTAATTGAAGAAAGCTGGTTTGATTTGTGATGGCTAAAAACTGAAAGGTCCTTCTGATTCAATACACTGCAAAGAATAAAAGAAAGAAGAATTCAGGCCAAATCCTTATTTAAAAAAAAATGAGTAAATACGAAATTTTGTGGGTTAGCTCAAACCTCAGCTACTATTGTTGCGAGTTATAATTCGGTTTTAAAAAGAAGCGAGACATTTTAAAAAAATGAAAATGAAAATGACCTCACATACCATGATAAAATATAATTAAGTTCTCTCAAACGTCAAACAAAAGATTGAAGAAGAACAATCAGCAGAATTTTTTTTTTTAATTCTGTTACGTTTATAAGTAACCTTGATGGTTATTGTATTCATATTTATTATTTACTCTTTTGCTTTTATTAAATGCTTGAAATGCTATTAAATATTAAATTATTTTATTTTGAAAGTATATATATATATATATTTAATAAGGATGAAGTTAAAAATTTTGAATTTTTAGAGAAAATTAATAAAGTTTAATATTTTTCTTAGTTCTAATAAAACATGCTAAAAAAGACTTATAAATAAGACTAAAAGGAGTAACCATCCTTTTTTCTTTTTTGCAGTAACATTTATTTTTGGTCTCATGAGTACAATTCAAGTAAGAAGCAGCTGCTGTCTCCTTTGAACATACATCTACAAATCAATATCGCATAGTAGCTTTGCCCAAGACACCATGAAATACATTTTAATAAGCCTTCAAGTGATATTAAGTACATAAATTTTCTGAATTTTATCCCTCTTATCAACGACTCCAGTCAAAGAATATTCATTCTGGCTCTTGGAATTCTTGAACTAATTTTATTTTACATTAGGTAGCTTTTACGCTCATAAGCACTACGAAATAAGGGGGCTAAAAGAGCTAGTATTATACTGGGTCATCGGCCACGTGCTGTGTTGTTATTAGTTTGTTATAAGTCTGGTAATTAGCTTTAGCCGAGTGGTTAAGCAATTTACATGTACTGAAGTTTATAGATATATATATATATATATATGTACTTTACTACAGATTCAATTCAAGTGATAAGAGAATACTTTAGAAAGTATTATCTCAAAGATTTATTTTGCCTAGATTTAGAGCCCATAACTGATTAGCCACTGTTTTTATACTTTATTTTTCCTTATTTATATGTCTTTTAGTACTTTTTTTTGCCTAATTATGGCTATTTATTCATTGTTTTACACTAGGCACCTATTTGGAGCCAAAACCCTAAATTGGCTACCTGTAAAGGCAAAAACGTAATTTGCATGGACTTTGAGAAAATCCTAAATAGAAAGTACTTATTGAGATCATGATATTGATATAGAGGTCACTTCAATATTTCAAAGGAAAACCTTAAAATTACATCCTAGACATCTTTCTTCAATTACTTTAACTGATGTTTCAATTTGTACTATATTGTGTTTTGTAAAATCCACAAGTAGTGAAACCAAAGGTGATCCCTGGATTGATCCCAATGAGATTATCAAGATTGCAATTTCATAGAAATAGGATTTTAAGTTTTTATAAATCAAAATTACTTTAACCACCATTTAATAAACATCTATTCAGAGTAAATATTGTTACGAAATTATGGGATACCTCATGAGACTCAAAGGACTCAAATTCAGTTGAAAAACATTGAGGAATGACAAATAAGGTGACTCATTAACTCTATTTAAGTCAATCGATTCAGACTCATGACCTCTATAGACTTAAAATTAGCTCTACACTATAAACCCTTGCTTTAAACTAATGTAGAGAGGAAGGGGAAGGATAGGAAAGGCTTACCTTAGTTATTAAGAGCTTTAAACCCTCTTAATTTCTTTCCAAATTTGTATCCTAGCAAAAATCTTTCAATGCTTCTTGTTTTCTTTCTTTCTTTCTCTTTTAATTTTTGAGTATTTTGCTGAAGTATTTATGTAAAAAATGAGTTGAATATTGCAATGCACATCATATGTGCCGTGATATAGGGCACAAAGGTTTCTCTCCTTGTTTTTCTCCATTTTTAATGTCTAAGTGACCCAACTTTATTTTAGGCCCACATTTATTGCTGAAATCACAACCAAAATACTTATTAATCCCCTTTGACCACATATCACACAATCCTATACAATTACTCTTAATCAGGTTGACTATTAGGGTTTAATTTTTAGGATATTGCATGTTTCATTTGTTATATGTTTTTTATGTTATATCATTAATTTGTCTCAAGAAGCTCTATCTAGCTAAATAATAATCTTATTATGTGTATTATATACATTTTGTCTCATTTTCATTTTTCACATCATCACAAGTGCCACATAAGTATCTTGCACGTCATTGATTGCTTATAGAATGAACTTTAACATTCCTAATGTCTAGGTAAGGTATAAAAATGCATTGGAAACATACTAAAATAGCGGAGGAACATAATAATATTTAAATTATTATAGATTAAATTGTTAATATTTTAATATGATATCATTAAAATAAATATAATATTTTAAATTATTTATTGGTATTTTGCCAGCACTTTTGATCAACTAATACTTAGTAGTTAATTAAATTGGTTGGCCAAAATCTTGTTTTGATATTTTATACAAGGTAATAAATGACATTTGTATCTTGATACTTATATGCAATTTAGGAGACTTGATTGGTATTAATTTTCATATAAAGTACTTATATGTAATTTTTTTTGGATCCTTTTTGTAATTTTTGATATTCTTTTCTATAATTTTTAAATCAACTAATGGTTGAAGTTAATTTTTTTAATTGCAGAATGCTCAATGCATGATTTTTAAAAATTAAGAGGGAAAATTGTGAATAGTTGAGGAGTGAAAATATCCTTTAACCCTATAAAATATCAATTTTGATTTTTTTTTATTTTTTGCAGAAGTTAGCGAGAAGAAATACTAGAGATAGTACTTTCTGAAGTATTCTCTTATCAGTTGAATTGAATCAGTCATAAAGTACATGCTTACATAGACCTTAGTGCATTTAAACTGCTTGACCACTTGGCTAAAACTAATTACCAGACTGTAACAAACGAATAATAACACAACACTTGGGCTAGGGCCCAATATTAAAATGCTGGACTACGCCTAATATACTAACAACTCCCTTGCTTGGTAAAACAAAAAAGAAAAAAAAAAGCGGTAGAGCAAACCACCTGCAACAGGTTCCTTATGCCCAACGGCAGCCAGCTTACTGTGACAATACGTGAAAAAACAGCAGATTGGGCTTTTCATTAAGACATCAGCAAGATGGGCTAGAGGAACATAACCAACACGAACAAGGCTTGCCTCTATTATCTCTCGAATGAAATGAAGATCCAGCTCAACACGTTTTGTCTTTGAATGCAACACTGGGTTAGCTGACGGAGCTGCAGTGCCTGAATTGTCATGCAAGTCCTATGGTCTCATGCCTCAACTATCAACACTCCCATAATCAATTACAAATCCAATATTAAATTCTTAATAAATGTTTCAACAGATTCTCATACTTAAAGTTACTGCAAATAAGCCAATTATACAAATCTTGTAGCCTTTGGTCTCAACTAACAACATTCTCATCCATCATAATAAAATAATAATAAAATGAACAATTAATCCCAACGAAATAAGAGTCTTGAAAAAAATATATTACTCTTTAAATTAAAAAGGTGGATTTAATTTAGCTGGGAGATATCTACCCATTGCTCTTAGTACCTCAAGGTAGATATTTTTTGTTGCCAGCAATGCCTATTCCTTATAATTATTTAAAAAAAAAAACAAAGACAAAGTTAAGCACTATAAAAAAATTGACTTATCGCCGCTGAAAGTTGAAAAGTCACCGCTAAAATTTTTTAGTAGTGACTGTCACCATAAGAGCTCTTATTATTGATTCTATTTGCAATAACAATAAAAGTCATCATCAAAAATATTCAATAAATGGTGACAAATATTGTGTAGAAAGGAAAATTCGTCACTATAAAAAGGTAGTTGCCACTGAAAGTTAAGAATCAGTGGTTACAAATGTTGCTACAAGAACCACACATTAGTGGTGACTATTTAGTCACCGCTAAATATTGAGCATTAGTGGTGACCTTTGTCGCTTAAAAAGCTATTAATTAGTGACGACTTTTTTTTTGTTGCTGCTAAAATGTAATACTAATTTATCTAGCCATGTGACTCAATCTCAACCTCCCACTCCTATGTGGTGCCACGTCACTTGCCACGTGTCACTTGTGTCACCTTTCACGTGGTGCCATGTCACCTTCCATATGTCGCCCCTATATCATGCCACGTGTCATCGCATCACCAATTTATTTTGAGAGAATAATAATTAGGTCTCAAAACAGTGAATTAATATTAGTTAAGTCCCTGAAAAATTATTTAACAAAATGAATTATAAATATCAATTCAAATAGTTCCAAATAAATATTTTTGTTACAATTTAAAAGTTATATTTGATATTTAAATACCTACCTGTAATTGAAACTCTTGAAGTTGTAATAACTTGGATCAATATTTTCAATTTACTTTCCAAAAAAATTTATCAGAGACTTAACTGGTATTAATTGACTATTTTGGGACCTATCTGTCATTCTTTCGTATATTTCCATTTCACGAATTGCGTCATTGAAAGTTTGAACTCATGACATCCTTATTTTGTATCCTAACATTTTGCTACTAAGTTGGAATGAATCTGTACTCTATTATTACATAATTAAATAAAAATATATATATATATATATATATATATATAAACTAAACAAACACACATATATTTTAAATATTAAATATTATAAAATATCATTACTATAAATAAATACTTTAATTTAATTCTTTTAATTTATTAAAATTGAAAATTATATTATTTGTTTTGTCTAAAGTAAACTATAAACATAATTGATACAACATCATTTATATTTTTTATTTTATTTTTACTTCTTGAGGTTATTATATTATTTATTTTAATATTCATATTTATAATTATAAAAAAGTTTCTAAGAATAAATAATAAAAATATAGATGATTATACCTTAAATCATAATCATTTATTTTTATTTCTAGCTTTATTTAGAATTTTATTTTTACTTTTAATTAACAATAACTCTTAAGTAATGTAATTGGCTTGTTTTTGCATTACATTTTACTTTTTTTAATTATTTTTCATTTTTAAATTATAATTTTATAAAAAAATTATAGACTATATTATCTATTTTTTTATATTTATGTCGC